GCCTTACCTCCCCTGACTATTCCCCCCTCCCATCGCCTTCTCTTCCTTCTCCCACTCTCTCTACTCCTCACCCGGCTACTTCTCCACCCCCTCACCCCATGCCCCCCCACCACCATTGGGTGACCCTCCCCAGCACTCCATCTCTGTGTTCACTTCAAAGCTCTCGGGCCGAGAGCGGCAGGCCAGGCCGGGGTGCGAATGTGCGGAAAGGTTAATGGAGGTGCTTTGAGCACCCATCGCGAGGGGCTGGCGCAGTGCGCTCTCACGCCGGGCTTTGAAGCCGGCCTCTGCGCGTCTGCATGTGTGTGTGCGCGCTGCACCTGTCTGTGTGTACACCTGTGCATGCAAGCGTGTCTGTGAAGCCAGCACTTTCCATTCGTGCGGCCCGTTGTGTCTGTGTGTGTGTGAATCCGCGTTCTGTTCCGTGTGTCTGTCTCCATGTGCGTTTGAGTCAGCAAGGCTGTGACACGGTACCTGGATGCAGATCCCTAAGCCTGCGCTCGTCCCCGTGACAGCCCTGGGACCCCACAGCCCAGTCCTCTGTCCTCTCCTCCGTCTCTGGCCCTTTTCTTTCACAATCCCTTCCTTTTTTCTCTTTTTGCCGTTCTCTGTCCCTCATGAGATGGCTAAACAGCCGTGGGTTTTAGCCATGGACTCGGGGTTCATTGCGGTTCTCGTGCCAGCGGGGGCGGGGGTTTGACGACAGCTTCCTGTCTTCAAACGCAGCCCCTCCTATGTGTCAAGCAGAATCATCCCATATAGGAAGCACGGTCCCCGCCTTGCGTGGTGAACCGTCATCGGGATGGCGCTGGGAGACAGCGGTGAGTCAGCTGGGCCAGTTCTGTCAGACAGGCGGTTCTCGCTGACTGGCTGCTTTGTCGGGAAGTTTTCCTCGCAGGGAAGATGGGTCGGCCCCCCCTGCATGTATCCCTCGTTTTCAGAAGAGGCTCAGGCCGCCTAGGCATCGCCCCGGATGCTCTGAGGCAAATCAACCACGGGGGTGGGGTGTGACCAAGCGCGGGGCAGGCAGGTGGGCGTCGCCTGGCAAACAACGGGGGACCAACTGCTTGTCGGCGGGGGTCCAAACGGCCGTCACGCCGGGATCAGTTGGCCGCCAGCAGGCCCATCGCCGCGGAAATGGCCGCCGCCAGCGCGGGGATCGCGCCGGGCACCTGCTGTCGGCTGCGTTTCGTTTTTTGTTTTTTTATGTTTTCCCACTGTTTAATGATTTAATTAGCAAGCTGCCGTACGAGCTGCGCGTCGGCACTGCGGGGGAGCCGGGAGGTGCCGGCGAGCCTCGCTGCGCTGCTGTCTGCCCGCTGTCGTGGGCTTTGAGCAACGCACGTGTGTCTGCGTGTGTCTCGCCCCCATGTGGCCGTGATGATCATGGGTAATGGGCACAGCGACTCCAAATGCTGCTTTTTGATGTCACTGCCCCGTTACCCCGATAATTTTGTCCAGGAAACAAGCATCCTTCTATCCAGCACAATGTTCACAGCATTTCAGGACCATGGACAGAGTTAATAACGCAGAATGTTTCTCTCAGGACCACGGACAGCAACAGTGACCCACAGTGACTCTTGGGACCATGGACAGCGTCAGTGATGCACAGTGACTCTCAGTACCATGGACAAAGTCAGTGATGCAGAATATTTCTATCAGGCCCATGGACAGCATCAATGACACACAGTGACTCTCGGGCCCACGGACAGTGTCAGTGACACACAGTGACTCTCAGCCAAGGACAGCGTCAGTGATGCACAGTGACTCTCAGTACCACGGACAAAGTCAGTGATGCAGAATATTTCTATCAGGCCCATGGACAGCATCAATGACACACAGTGACTCTCAGCCAAGGACAGCGTCAGTGATGCACAGTGACTCTCAGTACCACGGACAAAGTCAGTGATGCAGAATATTTCTATCAGGCCCATGGACAGCATCAATGACACACAGTGACTCTCGGGCCCACGGACA